TGCGGCACTTCTGTATTTGTGCCGGTATCAAGCGTCATCTGTTCGGGTGCCTGTCTTCACTGCGCAGTAGCTGTTTGTTGTCTGAGTCATATTCTCGCTTGTTTTGCAGTAGCTGCTCCGTGCTCCTGCGCCTGCAAGTCAAATATTCTTTATTTTTAGTAGTTTAGTCCCTGTCGGTGGTACTCCTGCAGTCTGCGCCGCTGCTGCCTCTAGCCTGGTGCACGCTTGGCCATTCACTGCGGCTACGAGGCCGCTTCTGGGAAAGCAACTGCTGCTACAAGGTGGCATCGCATCTGAGAGCGTGCCATACAGCAGCAGTTACAGAGGCAGAAACAGCAACAAGCACAGCGGCTAGTGCTCCACGCGCTGCACTCGCCGCTGCTGCGGCAGCTGCAGCAACAGTCTCTCCCAAACTCACTAGGGCACTCGAGAACACTCTTGTTAGAGCTCGAATGGATCCAAAGGAACTCAGAAAGGCGTTGCCCACATTAATGTACGCGTGGCCATTTCCGCTGCTAGGGCTGCTGTGGTTGTTGCCCTTTGGTTTTGCCGCTACTGCTGCTGCGTTTGGCGCTGTGTCGCTTGGTGCCTCCCGTCTGGCTGCCAATGTTAATATCATCGTTTTCTTTGACTTTGTTGCCGTTGCCTCTGCTCTTTATTGTTCTCCAGTAGTTGTATGAGAAGCGACGTCCTTACTTGTGAGGTTCTTGCTGCAGCGGAGGTGGTACAAACACGTTGTTACGCACCGCCGCCGCGAGGAACGCAAGTCGTTATTTTGTAATGTATATGGTTTGTGTATGTGTTTGAGCTGATCTGCTGATGAATTTGCTGCTTGTTTTTGCTCTTTGTGTTTTAGAAAGGCAGAAGTGGAGGCGCCGTGGGGCTTCGCCTTTGATTCCAACCCCAGAGAAGTTGGAGGCATTTTCGTGGCCTACGTGGTGGAGGGCAGCAAGGCAGAAAAAGCTGGGCTTGTGCCAGGTAAATCAAGAATAATAATTTTGCAGGGTCGCCACAGCTCAGAAATTCGCAGCTCGGCGTGGGAGCTAGCTGGTTCGTGAGGTGTGCCTGCTGCAGGCGACCAAATAGTGCTCGCAAGCAACACTATACTGTTAGGCCTACCCGTCGAAAAGTGCGTTGACTTGCTGCGGCCGCGCCGCCGGCCGAAGCCCCAGCAGCGGGAGCCTCAGTTGCTACCCTTGAAGCTTGAGGTGTACAGAGGTCCGTTGCCTCTCCTGTATGGGGCCTCTGGCTTCGCTGCACTGCAGCGGCTTGACGCAGTTGAACGTATGGGAGAAGACGACGGTGACTCACAACATTACAAGCAACAGCAGCAGACGGCTCCATTTCATGTGCCAGCAGGGTTCCTCAACACGCTGTTACAGGGCTCCGCCTGGACGCATCAAGAGCTCTTCTGAGACTAACAAGCGAAGCACTTACCTTTGTCCGTTTGCGACGGCCACTATTTCCATTTACATGCGTTCTCCACCACACTGCACACCCACACAGAGAAGAAAGTGTGTCACAGTGGTGCAGTTGGTTGGAGGCACCCATTGGTCTCTGAAGAAATGTGGGAACACGAAATGTATCGGCCCGTAAGGCTGCCTTCAGAAATCAGGAAGATTATTGAAATTCGTACTGTGCTGCGTACAAATCACAACTTGCGAAATATATGCCGAGCGAATCTTTCCAATCGTCGTGAGTAGCGGTCCAGTCGGTATTTGTAAGAGCGATGACAGTGCGGCAGCCGCCTCTGCTAGCTGCACGCTCCAAGCCTTTGTTGACGTAGTCCTAGCCTCCTCGAGTAAATTCCCAGCAGCGATTGCAAGGATCAGTGGGTGCTTTCCACATGTAAACTCTATCGTAGGACGGCATTTATCTTCCAGTGCGCCAGCACCTACTGGAATCGTACTGTGGGCTTAGAAGCTGAGCTCCACCAGGTCATTTCCGTCAACAGGCGAAGATAATCTCTGGAGTGTATTTACGAACCTCAAGTGATCGCACTCATGAGTGTCGGCGTCATCTCCCATCTTCGACGTATCGTCAACAATCCCCTTTTGCGTTCCCCTGGACGCAGGTGATTAGGATTCCAATGCCAAATTGTCTGTCTGTTCAGTTCCCGTTTCTAAAATGTAGAAAGTTTTATTTCCACACATTTCTAAGATGTGCGTTTGCACGGAAGTGACCCGTGGATACCTGCTAGGCAGTGCTAAATCTGCACCGTGTGTTTGCATTTAAGTGGAAGTACACACACGCACATGCACACATGCACACACACACATGCACACACACACGCACGCACACGCACAGTCTTTATGTACATATATAGATACATATATATATATATTATGTATATGGTGTGTGTATGTGGTTGCTCGTTTGCATTCGCGTCTGCCTATTTGCTTGCGTGTTTGCCTGTGTATGCCTGTATGCGTACATTTCTATTTTTGAAAGTGTATGTTTGAAAACAGACAGCTCTATCTTGCCCAGTCCCTCCTTTGTGCGTGAAACGCCACATATCATTTTGCAGTGCACTGCGTATTGGCTTTGCGCACCTCTGATAAGATACTGGCAAAAATCATGTTCAGAGTATTATACCTGCTAAGATGTAGTCTGCTGTTCCATCCACCGTGGCTTCTAGCAAAAGGTCCAGTGCTTGAGCTGAGCGGCTCAAGCATTGGACCAAACAAGTTTTGCGGGCCGAAGGAGCATGTCCTACCTCAACACCAGCTTGCTCACGTTGCTGCAGGTCATCCAGGAAGATAATCGAATTGAAGACTGCAGCTGTTCTTCCGCTGCATAAACTTTAACCTAGACAATGGAACCACGCCACTGTCGATACATACCTTGCGTCTGAGCGTGGAGATGAAGCGGCCCACCACCCCCCGCAGCGCTTCTTGAGTGGCTCTGGATTTTTCGACAAATGTAGGATTCATCTTCAAGTCGTCTGGAGGAATATTTTGAACGCTGGACTCAAATTGTTGGGAATCCATCCGCAAAAGCACGAAGTGTTCTTACTCTAGACACTTGGTATCTAGTCGTCCACTGTCCTCGTGGTTGTGTATGCGGAGCTTACACCAAAGGCAGAAATGTCTGGTTAGGGGGGATAATGTTGCCATAAAGTGTCTTTATATCGGGAATTAGACTCTTAGTCGGTACTTATGTTCCGGCTGTTTACTACTGTGCATTTTACCGGAGCACTGCGGAGGTCAGTCGCGTAGCGGCCATGCCCTAATTCCAAGTCGGGCAGTGAACTATTTCACATAGAGGGCATTGTATTTACAAAAAGGTGCAGGCTTGAGAGGGCGTAGGGTTGCCGGTCAGGTAGCGGAAATAGAAGTTTACTAACTGAAAAGGCAAAGACAACATGTGACTCCCGGCGTCCCCGCTGGCATGAGGTTCTAAGTTCAGCCTCGTGTCGTAGTGGTAAGCTAGAGTGTGAATAACCAGATGTGCAGATAGTCTATGGCGTGTACGCAATCTGCATTGTAGTGCCACTTATAAGGCTTCACAGCTGTGGGACTCTAGGAGATGGAAGGACGGGGAGAAGGCTTCAAGGTTCAAGCGTAGTATTCCTCTTTTTTGCTGCCTACAAAGAGTGTGCCCCTAAAACCGTTGTAGACAGTTACACCCGTCAGCTCCCTTCCTCGCCACAGCCATAGCATTTTCAGTATGCCCTGCAGCCACAGTGTAATAATGCTTTCTTGTTTATTTGCTTCCGGCCGCAGTCTGGGAAATGAGGAGGATGTAATGCGGGGGTAAACCGGCAGCACAGGCCATGAGGGCGCGCATGATTTCTGCTCACAGCAACGTAAACAGAAAATAGGGGACAGAAAGATTTCCTGTAGCGTCGTTTTAGCCAACGTTCGAGCAATTCCCTGTCTCGACCACACTCACCGGACAGTGGGTATCCGAGCACAGTCAGAATAAGAAACGACACATGCGTATGAAGAAATGGCAACATACGGACCGAACGCTACTTGCTGCACTGTTTTGTCCAGCGACAATGGCATACGAGCGAACAATCTTGTGCCTTCGTGGATTAGCATGTCGCGCAGGGAATGGGAAACCTTCCAGCGAGCAGAAAACACTCTTAAACATCTGGGCAGGGATCAACATGAAATATTGTAAGGTAATTGTTTGGGTTTGTGCAGAGGAGAGGGAAAGAACACAAAAGATCGCATGAGACGATCGTTCTGCCTTGCTGCCCATGAGCCAGATCACGTCGCGGCCGAATTTGAGATGGAACGCAGCACACGGCTTCCTTTTATAGTCGCTAACTGGTGTGTTTAAAACTGTCGTAAAACTCTCTTTTCAATAGAACAACGCGGGCTCCCTCGCGTTGTCTCCGGCTTTAAGGGCGGATGAATTTGGCTGTGGGCATCAGGGGTTTTGGTCTTGTCGGTCCTATGGTCATCATGGTCCCGACATGGCCGTCAAAGCCTTAAGCACTCGCTGTAAAACTCAACGCATCACTGCCGCAGCGGGAAAGGTAACCCGAAGCAGCTGCTAGTAATATCTAACGGGGTGTTGCGAGTACTAACTAACGCGAGACTCAGAAGGATCCGACTGGGACGCTTATATCTCTTTAAATGAGCTCGGACGGGTCGTAAACGGTAGGGGGATCTCTAAATAAGTAAGAGTTATTTGGACCCCCCGGGACACTGAGCGCTGAATACGACAACCTTTGCCAGCCCCGAAGCTACTAACCTGAGCCTTGCTAGCCTTAGGTAGAATCAGACCAATATATCTTAAGGAGCCCACTGTAAAATGCTTTAGTTAGCAGTAGCGCGCAGTCGAACAGTTGACACTTTGTGCGAAGTTTCCAGAAACTATAGCCCAAATAAAGCTGATCCTGCTCCTCTTAACAATAGCACGCAAGGCTGGTGCGCTGGTATAGAAGAGCGGATATAAGAGTACATCTGCTCTTGCTCCTCGTATGCGTTTTCTTAACTTCCCTTTTACTACGCATTAGAATATTTTTACTAAGTTTCATTCTGCCACTATTTGCAGGACAGGACGACCAGTCCAGCTCCCACGCAGGGAGGACCCACCAGAGGCGAGCATGTGCTCAGATTCTTTCCTCTAGCTTCAAGGCTGCAACTGTTGATGTGTCTGATATTAATGTAGATCGGGGTCAAACGAAACCTTCTTGCTCCCCAGGCGAGAAGTGTAATCAGCCTCCGTCCATGGCTCATGCGGGTGCTGTCGGGTCTCAGGTGTTGGTCATTTCTAACAGTTGCAGAACGACACCAGTGAACCATGCCGGTGGCCCATTTACAGCACCTGAGGAACATTGTTAACATCAGTATCCCAGGCGCAGCCGGAAGTAACAGGGTCATTTCAGTCTGCTGGCTCAGGTGGTAACGACTCATCCATTATCTCCAGCCCACTTCATGAGGATAAGGCCTGCCTTGTCTCTTTTTGGGAGATATGGCACGTGTTTGTATTCAAAGCAGCTTTCTGCTATTTGGCTGGGCCGTCTAATGCGGCTGTCTTGCAGCAAAACGGCGCTCGCATCTGACGAACCAGAACAGAAAGCATTATCCACCTAATCAAGAACACGCAGTACTTGACACCTGCCGATTCAGTCCATAACCGATTTATCTGGTGTACACATAAAACGGGGGGGAAGATCGAGGGCTTGTCCTGTTTAAAAAAAAATATCCTTTATGCATCCTGTTGAATCCGTCTTTGCAATTGGGGGAGACGATGATTCGGAGCAGGAGGAGGATTTGCTGGTGCAGGGGACCAAAAGGGTGGGCGCCCTCGCAGCCGGCGTATCCCCGGCGGTAGAAGTCTTATTGAGTACTGGAGTGGCCGCTGATGCAAATTCTGCGAGGCTTGATTCGCCTCGTGCTGCAGCTGCTGATCCCCCTCGTGCTGATGCTGCTGCTACCTCCCCTGCATCTGTGACACCCCCGTCTTCTCAGCGGCCCAGTAGTGCTCTGAGCTGTTATCCTACTGGTTTAGGCGTGGGAAACGTTGACGTGGAAACCCAGGCCAACACATGCAAAGGACAGGAACAGCGAAATGTGGCAGAGAGAAGTAGCAGCACGAGGGAATGCGCCAGCAGCAGCAGCAAGAGCGACTTCTCCCATTGCGTCTCTGGAGCAATCGATGATACTTCTACTTACAGGCCAGAAATAGATGGTCCACCTATTATCGGGTAAGGCACTTCGCCGAGTTTTATACTTTTTCGTGCCGTAGGAAATTTGGGCGTGGGGCTGTTAAACACAGATTTAAGAGGTTTAGTTGGATTTTATGTGTTCGTTTGCGCAGTATATTCGTAGTGGTGCAATCAGCGGTGCAAAGGCATCAAATTTTGTTTCATCACCAAAGGACAAAGTCTAACTGTCTGCCTCTTCACCGACTCGACCTTGCACACTGTACGGAGGTGAGCGTAGTCCTTTTATTCTTCGGCGTTCCTGCTGGACATTTTGGGCTCGATTTGCTTTCCTTTTTGCCAGAAGTCAGTGCCTGTAGTGGACACTACATTTGCAAGCGATACAAGCTGTGACTCGGCAGAACGTAGGAATCTCTGGCCGAGCGAGCCAGGTGGCTGAGAACTTTCAAGCTGCTGCTGACCGTTTCGTCTGCCGCAAATACCTTCAACGTTTATTGTAGATGATGGGCTATCCTCATGCAGTGACCATCATTCCATTTTCATTATCTAATACATCTGCTACGACTTTGTATACTGCCGAGTGAAGGTCACGTGCCTCCGATTGCTCGTGTGCAATACTTCCACTTTGCTTGGTGTTGCGCTTGCAGCGTTCGTTATGGCGCAAAAAGCAGCAGGGTGCCTCCCAGCGAGCATTTCCCTGGGACGGGGAGGATGGCGATACGACGTTGCTCCAGTGGGTTGAAAGGTTTGCTCTACCAGAGATGGCCTCGATGAGGGAGAGCCTCCAGGTGGCCTCTCAAGGGACGACCGAACGTAAGGAGGATTCCGCTAGTGTCCAGCGGCCTTGTTCACATCTCTTCTTTACGGTGCCCACGGCAAAGAACAATACTTACTTTTTCGGCGTGTCTTGTTATTCTGCGCAAAGGGAACGCTTGGTGAGGATATACTAAGCCTTAGAGGCTCTACGGAATAGCTAGTTTTCACCCAATTACGGGCAACCAGAAAAAATATGCAAGAGCTGCTATGCCGAGGGTGGGGGAAATGTCAATTGGAGACTCACATGGATGTGTCTATGTCTGCGTGCGTGGTGTGGGCGTGTCTAGTGGGATCCATCATCCATGGAAGATGCCCAGGGATTATGCGCAGTGTGTTTGGTGGCACGTGTGCCATTTTGGGGGCTTCTTCTGTTTCGCCTACTTCCTGTTACGACGGCCTTTTTTGAGCTTATGGAGGGAGCCTGTGGAAGTGTTGCGGAGCAGACGAGCTCCTTGGGATTGCCTGCTCAGTTGCTTGTTCAACTGTACGACCAGCTGAACACCGTCAATTTCCATCTCATGAGATACACCGAGATCACTTTCAACCTTGAGGCTGGCCTGCCACCCTTTATCATGGCAGTCAATCCACGTAGGACTATCGAGCCCAACCCATGTTCTCTCCGCAATTGCATACCGGCAGGTAGGAGACCTGCAAAACGAAAAATGCAGATGAATACATAGTTTATTTTCTTTGTCTGCATTGCGCTGACAACGCAGAGCAGCTCCTCATGCTTGTCAAAGCTTTGCTGCTGGAGACGAAGGTCATGTTCCACTCATGTGATGCTTCGCGGGCATCCACAGCTGTCCTCTCATTTATTTCGCTCCTCCCGGGTATGGCGCTACTTCCACATAGACTACTGTATCAACTCCCTCTGTGGTACCTCAAGGGAGGCTGTATAATTCGATAGAGGCAGGCGGGCGTCACTGAATCTAGTGTAGAGGAGCCTCAAACATAGTTGTCGACGTTGTTGCACTCCATGGAAGGCCCAAGAAAGACGCAAACAGTAGATTCGTGTATTAACGCGGCCTTTTCGATGGCAATAGCTTGTTGCCGGATTCGCGGCTTTTGCACGGCCATACGAGGTGCATCAAGTTTTGGGGACTATTTCTGCAGGTGGATTGGCTTGTGGTTTCTCTAGTGACGGCTTTGGAGAGCATGATTACCGTTGGAAACGTCACGGGCTCCCATTCAAGGTGTTTGAGTATCGCTCGGCTTTTTTTCCTATTCTTCCTCTCGATCTCGTAGACGACCTGCTGCTGCAGAAGAGGGCATTTCTTATATCTTCGACCAACCCTACTCTGGCAGCGCACCCAGTTGTCAAGCCAGACATCGTAGGCAAGTCTATGCATCTCTGTAGCGTTCTTATTAGTGGCATCACAGTGCTTGGCTTCAGTAGAACTGATTCAGTATAGAAACTTGAGTTTCGATGCTCTTTTCAGTGGACGTAGATGCTCTAACGGTCGAGGTGCAGAACGCGACCCTGGTGCCACTGCTGCGGTTAACGGATTGGGAGCAGAAGTTCGCGAATCGGATGAGCGTGGAGACTTCATTTTCTTGTGAGGCGTTAGGAAGCAATAGCCCCACTTATGGAAATAGCTGCAGCATCTCGAAGCATGCAACAGATCTGTTACAGCAAACATTCTCTTCCCTCGCTAGCCACGCAGCGGCACATGGAATCCCTTTCTTGAGGTCCAAGGATGAAAGTGAGCGGCTTGTAGACAGTCTGTTACCCTGAGCGTTTCTCCTCGGCATAGCTATTTGCTGGAAAGCTAATGTTTGATGATTGTGCGTGGTATTGCAGCTACGGTTTCGCCATCAAAAGTGGTGCCTTCGAACCTTCACGCTTCGAGTTATCCTAAGGTAGACTATTCGTTTGCAGGGCAGCAGCAAAGACGAAGAACTGCCTCTGCCGTCTCACCGAGGAACAGCCGCCACTGCAGTAGCCGCAGTAGCAGCAGCTTGAGCCGGACGGAGCGGATCAATTACGCGGGCATCGAAGGCCGATGGGAGGCTGAAACTGTCAAGAAAGATGATGGCACCAGCACATCAGGAACTCTATGCAGTACACCTGGAGAGGCACGTAGTGGAGCGCGTGGACGCGATGCTTTTGTTAGGGGCAGCTCGAGCGGCTTGGATGCTGATTTAGAAGAGCCGCGGCAGCACCACAACACATCGTTTAACGGCATTCCGTGCACCTACCCTGTATGCGGCGGTGGAGGAGGGTGGTTGAGTGGTCGCCTTAGGTGGGGTTGGGAGCGCCAGGCTGATCGACAGACTCCCAGTAGTGCTGCCGCATCCGGTGGAAAAAAATCACGCAAAACGGTTGCTAGTGAGGAATGCCATAAGGAGGCTGAGTCTCCAGCTACTTCTAGTAAGGCAGGGGATCTGCCGTCGGACAGGCCCGTAGTACAGAGGCTTTGTTCAGACATTAGCCGCTTCCAGGCAGAGAGCAGGAGCAGCAGCGATGCCATGGGTTTCCCTTCCGTGTTTGATCCAAACTGGGAAGCACATGCAGACCTCATACGTGCAGCGTTCACACAACATCTAGAGCAGCTATGCAGGTAAGCGGTGGTTTGATATAACATGAAGGGCACAAGGGCTGCGGGGTTGCAGAACTACTGCGCCTTCATGTTGTCTTACAGTCACTGCGGTGTTTTGAAGCGATGCTTGCCATGTTTCCGAGCAGCCTTTGTTGGTATTAATTGCTACACAGGAGAGCAGCGATTGCTGCTGGCCCTGAACGCTCGAGGCAGCAGCTCCTGCGACAAATCTCCTTTCCGTCAGCAGAAAACGGTGATCTCAGTGAGTTCGGCGTCGAGTGGGTCAAAGCGTGGGCAGACACGCATAACTTTCAGGTGGGCGCTTATCGTTTTACATAGGTACAGCGTAAGTTGTAGCTAGATTACTGGCGTTGGCAGGTCAGTTTGCAGATGTCCCTTCGTTGTAGCAAGGGAGCCCAGGTTATGCTGGTTTCAGGCTTGGCTTCTAGAGCACCAGCTGCCGAACAAAGGGGCGCCTTACGCAAAACACGAGATTCTGCAGCCTCCGCCCACTTGCGGCTACGCGAGGTATCTTTACAGCAATGGAGATTGCTACGAGGGCCAATTCTCGTCATGTCAGAGGCATGGAGATGGTGTTTACTCTTCTGCTGACGGCATGAGGTAAATTTTAAAGCGAGGGGATTGCTACAGGTGTTGTACAACTTTCTGTGCCATTCTGGTGGTGGTTTGTGTTGCGTACGCTTTGATGCTGGGCAACAGATACGATGGTTCGTGGGTACGCGACGAACGACATGGACACGGGGTTCTTGCCCATGAGTCTGTGGGCTACTTATATGTAGGCCAGTGGCAGCACAATAAGAAGTGCGGGGAGGGACATCTGTATTCACGCAGTGAGCGGTACTGGGGCCAGTTTCTCGACAATAAATACCATGGGCGGGTGAGTACTCTGCATGCTTTGTACAGCTTCCGTTATTAGTCCTATTATTTCGCACTCAAAAGGTATGCCTCTGTTGTTTTTATCACATGGCCATTGATTGCTGTGATTATTCACAATGCCGCTACTCGCAAGAGAGCTTTTGTACGTATGGATCCAGAACACATCAGCATCACGACTCCCGCAGATGTTTGTGGAGATGCACATCCGGTATTTAGGGTAGATACGTACGGCGAGACGGACTGGAGTACGAAGGGGAGTTTGTGAGCGGCCGTTTTGAAGGTCTGGGGAAGCTAACAATAATGCGGAACGAGGGAAGGCAAACTCTTGCAGAAAACAAGGAGGGCGTTGTGGTCAGAGGCGGTTTCGAGAGTGGCAAAGTGACAGGTGTCGTCACTGCGGTTTACTCTGATGGAAGAACTTACACAGGAGAGCTTTCTGTAGGTTGCCCTCCACGCACGAGGCCACAGGGCCTCAGACTTGATTGGTTTAACTTTTTCCGTTCATCGCGAATACAATACTGCCGTGTCTTACGTTGGCAAATCACAAGCTTGTTGCGACGTATCTAATTTTTGCCGCACCAGTGCTGTCCGAGGTACTTATTCCCAGTTTCTCGGTGCACCCTTGCCTTCGTCTCAGCCTGAAACACTTCAGCCGGATGGATGTGGCAGCATGCTGTATAGGGATTCCTGTCTGTACGACGGACAGTGGCGCAATGGCTTGCGTCATGGAGCCGCAGTGCTTACAATCCCTGTAGGAGTTCTACGGGGTGTGGGCTCGAGTACATGCGTGAATGAAGCCGGCGCCGTCACCGTAGATGGCCAGTGGAGAGACGGCTCACCAGACGGCGATGCGGAGTGGAGTGTCACTTTTCCCAACGGAGACAAGTACTTGGGAAACCTGAAATTTCCCATCACATGCGATGATCGGGCGGGAGGCAGCGTGGAAGATAAAGATTTTGAGCAAATGGCGATCGCAGAGATTGTCCCTCATGGTTGGGGACTGAGCAAGCGAAAAGACACTGGAGAGGTGTATGAAGGGCATTGGATAGACGGCATGCGACATGGAAGTGGAGTAAGTCAAGCGCAAATTTGAGACGCGTTTACTTGGGGAATCTGCGTCAAGCTTTGGGTAATGATAGGTGTCGTATGCATATTATGCATATTGTGACGTCTCAGCTCGCTACAGTGGAGCGAGCTGCTTCAAATTGTAGAATCGTTAGGCGTTTGTGTAGGCAATGGTGTGAGTACTCAACCTACTTCGAAGATTGCAGATAGAGACTAAAGCGAACATAATTGATGACTTCCACCTTCATCTTTTTTGACTGTTTTTTTCGTCTGTTCGTTCAGGATTGCATTACGCGAAGTGGCGAAAGACACTCGGGCGACTGGAGATTCGGCCATTTGCACGGGAAAGGCCGACACTACGACTCCACTTCGGGCTGCACATTCGAAGGCACTTTTCACTTCGGGAAGTTTCTGGGAGAAGGCAGTCCAGGCCTAGCAAGGGAGGAGCAGCATATTGAGCCACCTGAGGGGATTCCGAAGCTTTTTTTTGAAGCTTTTATCACATTCCCACTAATTAAATGCCCTTTATTTCAGCAAACCAATACGGTGCGTACCAATCCGTGCACTGTTTCCTCTCCTAAAGGCCTTATGAAATAAGGCAACTGGCATGGTGGACTGCAACAACGGCATCATGAATCAACATTCTCCGAAGCCGCGTAACCCAAGTACTTTACCTGATAAAGACGGGCCATTTTCTTCATGCATAAAGCGCTTTGTAAAGCATGACCGAGTGCGCAGAATAGTCATGAACTGCCCACTTTGGCGGTCTTTGCTGTGTTCGTTTAAAACAGCAGTGCAAGCAGACAGACCGCAAATATGAGTTCGTACTACGTAACATGGGCATCCGTAGCATTTGTGCCAGCTTTCTTAACAAGCACTGTCTGGCGGAGAAGCTACATGTGATAGCCGTAGTTGAGCAACTGTGTGGATCTACAATTTCTGCCGCTCGTTTCAATCCTCGAAAGGTTGCGGATGACAGCAAAAGCACGCAGTATGTGTTCTGGCGACTCTTCAGCGTGCACACTTCACTCTGAAACACTTCAAGAGGCATTACTCAGCGCTACCCTTCTCAGGTTTCTGAGCTAGTTGCTCTGAAGCGGTGAGCAACTCAATATTCCTCGAATGCTGACACATCTTCTTCGGTCACTTTACGTGGAATTCGAGTTGCAGGATCTGGTCCACTCCTCTGACGGTTTTCCCACCATGTGTGAAACGTATGAATATCAAGGTAGTAGTACATAAGGTTAGCCAAAATATCGAGCTCTTCGCATCTGAAGTCATCGCACGCAAATACAGCTCTTCAGTTCAAGAAATGAGCCAGTACTCTACACGCAATGCAGTGCAAAGAAAGCGTAACTTGACTGCTTACCTGAGGTTTGTGGGCAGTCGAAGAGTTGTGCGCATGTGAGCCAAAAAGTGTCGATATCGCCGCTGCGGAAGTTGCAAGCACATCACGCACCGGAGAATTTTAGAACGTCCGCGAAACAGCGGTGCTTGTTGTTGCATGAGTTGCTGGATTGATTGCCCATAACGCACGCGCATTTCTGTCCGGTTGGACGTTTCCTTAACGTTCTCCGCTAGCTGCTCGACAAAACTTCCACCAATGGTAACCCTCTCTTGAAGCTTTCTGCTAACCGCAGCTTGCGCTGTTGACTGCCTACGGACCGCAAGTGCATGCGAACAACCAAAGCAACTTTCTTTTAGGGACATGCAGTCGACCATGCGTCGGGCTGAAACTGACAACTTTCTGGCCACCTATATTGCTGTTACCTCTTGAACATTTGACTGATGTCTGGTTCGTCCTGTTTTTCTTTTGGATCCTTCTTTTCTTTTAGCCTGTGACATAGAACAGGTGCCCTTTGTTGACTGAATTTCGATGCATGTGAGCGATGGCGTCATTAAACGATTGGAAAGCGACGGCAAATACATACTTTCCTAGCATCAACATGACCACTTTCAGCTTCGATATGGCCCTTTTCAACTTCTCGAGCGGAAATGCGTAGGACTGGGCAACTTCAAAAAGCTTCTTCGAGTTCCCTAAACATTGCAGTCACAGCTAATCGTCAAGCTTCAATAAGCTACGTCAACATCGGCAAGGCCACTAAGCAGTAATTAACGTTCAGCTCAACCAGACTTGTTGGATACGGATGTCGGCGTACGTTAAAATGCAACAATAAGACACTTTTCTGCTCAGTGATTTGAAGTCTCGAAGCTCTGAGCTGTTGGGTAATTCGGACCTGAAAGGATGAGCTGACAAGTATTCGATACAGCCACCTCAGATTTCGACAATAAGTGCCGCAGGTAACGGTCCATTATGCAACCACAGGGCGGGCTTCCTTTGCTGTCTTCCCCTGCAGCGATGCAAAGCACACATGCTTGTCATGAAGCTACGAAATGCATCCTGGCATCCCGAACTCCAATTGCCGAGTACGCATGTTTCCGCAAGTGCCGATCTCACTTGGATGACACAGTAGAAACATGATATCACTATCTTGGTCGAGGAGCTGCTCTCTGGGAATTCTGAAGGGGTAGTGTTCAATGTACTCCATTACCTGCTTATCGGACCTGCTCGCAGGGTCGGAATAAGGCAGACTACCAACTCATATGCCTTCATATTTTTTTTGGCTCTATCAAGCCGTTACAACCTGAATGCCAAGTGACTTAGCCCACTGCTAGGTTACAGACGGGGATATTAAGTGGAGAACACGCTGCCGGGCGAGAACGTAATCATAGGAACACCTCACGTTCCGGAAAGGTCTAACAACCAGGTAAGGAACGAATGCGAAGTCACATCACCCCCTGATTTTGTATAGGCAATTTCGAAGACGTCGTAGGAAACAGCTCTGAAACCTGCGTAGCAATCATTGATGCATGTGGAACGTAGTTGATCAAGTTCGGTAGACGCTCCGTAGCCAGTTCAATTTCCATTCAATTTCTCTATCTCCACTGATCCCGAGGTCAAGCGGACTTCTTGGCATCAGCTAAAGGGTTGAGTACATACTTTGTTTTTCAAGGTAATCAAGGAGGAGAAAGAGGGAAACTAGCCTTGAAACAAGCTGCTTCTCCACCGCAAAATTGATATAAACGACGAACATATCGCTAACTAAGTCCGGTATAGCCGGGCTAATCATGTCGCTAGCAGATTTCGACTGCATAGAGGCTGCACAACATGGCACCAAGGAGGCAAGCAGTTTTGTATGAAGTCTACACAAGCAAAACAGGACCCCTCTATTAGTGGCCAGCCTTAAAGTAACTAACGGCATGCTTCCGTCGTACAAGGCTAAAAGCCTTATTTGGCTCTCAAGGTCACGAACTAGGCTTTACGTTACTGATACGCAAAGTAATTCTGTGCAAAAGCGCGTACGAAATATGGGGTGATCTGCCGGATCAAGTTGGATCACGCCGTTATCCCTAGGCACTTCCTTCTTCGTATGTATATCACCAGCATCTTGCTTCTCAGCTCCTATGCCTTCACGCCCGCTTGGCTTAGACGAGACAGGACCACCAGAAAGGGGCAGTCCTGTGCCTGCAGCCGCAGGTAGTTCACATTTGAAAGGACCAGACAAAGTCTACACGGCGCGGGCAAGAACTGCCTGACGCTGTCAGTGGCAGTAAGGCATTCTTTCCCGTGGTCGTTCGTTTGGTGACAATGAGGCGATGCTGTTTACTTTCATTCGGACTTCCACACATGACGGCGCTTGGCTGCTTGTTTAGTGAGACTAAAGCCTGCTCGTCTTCCAGATTGGGCAAAACACATTTGACTTCCAAAAAGAAACGATTAAATGGCCGAATCGTCTCAAAAATCCCGTAAAAATACGGATCCGGTAGGCACCAACAAACTCTGTAGATATGACATTACAAAATTCATGGCAGTCATAAGAGCATGATATAACAACAGAACGCATACTGCATTGCTCTGTCCTTGGATCGCATGCGACACGTTGAGACCATACAAGCCTCTGGAGAGTAGAGATATAGCATACCTTGAAAATTCGTTGTCGGGCCTATAGCGGCGCAGCGAAGGCTTCAGAGTAAGTCTGGCAAAGAATTTGATCACAAGCAGCCATGTTCAATAAGAACGAACTCGTTTGCCTGCGCAAAGTTCCAAATACTGCTACACCTGGGGAATACCTTGTAAAGGCGTTGCGAATCACGGCCTCGTACATAGCGATACAGCGGCGATATCGGCCTTGGTTTGCCAACAAGACGGCAAGCAGTTGACCTGAAATGCGCAGACAGCATCGCTCACAACCTCGTGCACATAAGTGAGCAGATCAGGGTCGCCCTAAAAGCAGCTTCACAGCGATCTTTCACAACTACCTGTCGTCAGTGTCTCCAGGTGGTGCTTCCCTAAGGTCTTGACCTGCCACTGAGATAAGCATAACAAGCAGAACAAGCAGGTCGACATTCGGAAATGTTAAGCAAAAGTGTTCAAGCTTTCTAGTGGCCCTAAGTGTCACGACAGACTCAGCAGCCGAAGGGATCACAACAGAACTGAAACACAAATACCTGAAGTGTTTGGGACGCAATGTCAACTCCTCTTTGCAAGATTGTGCCTCCAGCATCCTTCTTCGTGGCTTTAATGAGTAACAGTAGCGACATCGAGAACTCTCGAGCCGCCGTCAGAGTCATTACGTGCCTTGTTCCCTTAATAAACATGCACACAACAATGAAAACCTACTGAGCGGAAAATGAAGACCAAAGCAAAAGGACGCCAACCAAGTATTAACACTCGTACACAAGCACCGCTATGCTGGAAGACATACAAAGTGGAAATCATAGGCATCCAATGCCCATTGAAGCATCATACAGGAGCTGTTTGCCATCGAAGCCCTCTGTTCCTCCGTCATCAACTCCTGAAACAAAACGATAGCGCTCTAATGGATTTACAAATGTTTTTTGAAAGGTTGAAAAAATGTGTGTAAACAGAAACATATCAGTTGGGTAGTGCTGGTTACAGTGCATACTAAACGGACTCTCCGTATGTAGCTGCGGCGGTCAAATGCAAGAACGAGCTTGCTGTGAGCCAGCATCCTGAGAAGCCCGGCCATTTTGGGAGTTATTGGAGCCGGTGGTATTCCAGCTGGGATCTGCACAAAATATCCACCGGCAAAGAGTCACTACTGACTCTGAAGTGCTCATATGCTTGTGCTACCACACGCCTGAACAGCACTGAAACGCAATAATATCTGAAGTTCCTTACTTTGGATGTTTCGTCTGTTGCGGTAACGGCAAGAAGCTGCTTGAGAGTTGTAAGCTGCGTACACAGACAAAAACAATATATTTGACGAAAAATGTGGTATTGAGGAAAGCACATGGCAAAGCAGTTAGCTTTTTGCGCCCGCAGGCACCTTGGGTACTACATGGGTTGATGTTCCGCGCGTACGTCCTGGGGTTCTATTGAGACGGAAAGAGCAGCGCTTAGATATAACGCAG